CGTATGACCATTTCCTTTATGTTATGTGTGAAGTCGTATGACCATTTCCTTTATGTTATGTGTGAAGTCGTATGACCACTTCCTTTATGTTATGTGTGAAGTCGTATGACCACTTCCTTATGTTATGGGTGAAGTCGTATAACCACTTCCTTTATGCTATGTGTGAAGTCGTATGACCATTTCCTTTATGCTATGTGTGAAGTCGTATGACCATTTCCTTTATGTTATGTGTGAAGTCGTATGACCATTTCCTTTATGTTATGTGTGAAGTCGTATGACCACTTCCTTTATGTTATGTGTGAAGTCGTATGACCACTTCCTTATGTTATGGGTGAAGTCGTATAACCACTTCCTTTATGCTATGTGTGAAGTCGTATGACCATTTCCTTTATGCTATGTGTGAAGTCGTATGACCATTTCCTTTATGTTATGTGTGAAGTCGTATGACCATTTCCTTTATGTTATGTGTGAAGTCGTATGACCACTTCCTTTATGTTATGTGTGAAGTCGTATGACCACTTCCTTATGTTATGGGTGAAGTCGTATAACCACTTCCTTTATGCTATGTGTGAAGTCGTATGACCATTTCCTTTATGCTATGTGTGAAGTCGTATGACCATTTCCTTTATGTTATGTGTGAAGTCGTATGACCATTTCCTTTATGTTATGTGTGAAGTCGTATGACCACTTCCTTTATGTTATGTGTGAAGTCGTATGACCACTTCCTTATGTTATGGGTGAAGTCGTATAACCACTTCCTTTATGCTATGTGTGAAGTCGTATGACCATTTCCTTTATGCTATGTGTGAAGTCGTATGACCATTTCCTTTATGTTATGTGTGAAGTCGTATGACCATTTCCTTTATGTTATGTGTGAAGTCGTATGACCACTTCCTTTATGTTATGTGTGAAGTCGTATGACCACTTCCTTATGTTATGGGTGAAGTCGTATAACCACTTCCTTTATGCTATGTGTGAAGTCGTATGACCATTTCCTTTATGCTATGTGTGAAGTCGTATGACCATTTCCTTTATGTTATGTGTGAAGTCGTATGACCATTTCCTTTATGTTATGTGTGAAGTCGTATGACCACTTCCTTTATGTTATGTGTGAAGTCGTATGACCACTTCCTTATGTTATGGGTGAAGTCGTATAACCACTTCCTTTATGCTATGTGTGAAGTCGTATGACCATTTCCTTTATGCTATGTGTGAAGTCGTATGACCATTTCCTTTATGTTATGTGTGAAGTCGTATGACCATTTCCTTTATGTTATGTGTGAAGTCGTATGACCACTTCCTTTATGTTATGTGTGAAGTCGTATGACCACTTCCTTATGTTATGGGTGAAGTCGTATAACCACTTCCTTTATGCTATGTGTGAAGTCGTATGACCATTTCCTTTATGCTATGTGTGAAGTCGTATGACCATTTCCTTTATGTTATGTGTGAAGTCGTATGACCATTTCCTTTATGTTATGTGTGAAGTCGTATGACCACTTCCTTTATGTTATGTGTGAAGTCGTATGACCACTTCCTTATGTTATGGGTGAAGTCGTATAACCACTTCCTTTATGCTATGTGTGAAGTCGTATGACCATTTCCTTTATGCTATGTGTGAAGTCGTATGACCATTTCCTTTATGTTATGTGTGAAGTCGTATGACCATTTCCTTTATGTTATGTGTGAAGTCGTATGACCACTTCCTTTATGTTATGTGTGAAGTCGTATGACCACTTCCTTATGTTATGGGTGAAGTCGTATAACCACTTCCTTTATGCTATGTGTGAAGTCGTATGACCATTTCCTTTATGCTATGTGTGAAGTCGTATGACCATTTCCTTTATGTTATGTGTGAAGTCGTATGACCATTTCCTTTATGTTATGTGTGAAGTCGTATGACCACTTCCTTTATGTTATGTGTGAAGTCGTATGACCACTTCCTTATGTTATGGGTGAAGTCGTATAACCACTTCCTTTATGCTATGTGTGAAGTCGTATGACCATTTCCTTTATGCTATGTGTGAAGTCGTATGACCATTTCCTTTATGTTATGTGTGAAGTCGTATGACCATTTCCTTTATGTTATGTGTGAAGTCGTATGACCACTTCCTTTATGTTATGTGTGAAGTCGTATGACCACTTCCTTATGTTATGGGTGAAGTCGTATAACCACTTCCTTTATGCTATGTGTGAAGTCGTATGACCATTTCCTTTATGCTATGTGTGAAGTCGTATGACCATTTCCTTTATGTTATGTGTGAAGTCGTATGACCATTTCCTTTATGTTATGTGTGAAGTCGTATGACCACTTCCTTTATGCTATGTGTGAAGTCGTATGACCACTTCCTTTATGTATAGTGTGAAGTCGTATGACCACTTCCTTTATGTTATGGGTGAAGTCGTATAACCACTTGCTTTATGCTATGTGTGAAGTCGTATGACCATTTCCTTTATGCTATGTGTGAAGTCGTATGACCATCTCCTTTATGTTATGTGTGAAGTCGTATGACCACTTCCTTTATGTATAGTGTGAAGTCGTATGACCACTTCCTTTATGTTATGTGTGTAGTCATATCTCCACTTCCTTTATGTACTGTGTGTAGTCATATCTCCACTTCCTTATGTTATGTGTGAAGTCGTATTACCACTTCCTTTATTTCATGTGTGAAGTCGTATGACCACTTCCTTTATGCTATGTGTGAAGTCGTATAAGCACTTCCTTTATGTTATGTGTGAATTCGTATGAGCACTTCCATTATGCTATGTGCGAAGTCGTATAAGCACTTCCTTTATGTTATTGTACTGTGTGTAGTCATATCTCCACTTCCTTATGTTATGTGTGAAGTCGTATAAGCACTTCCTTTATGTTATATGTGAAGTCGTATGACCAATTCCTTTATGTTATGTGTGAAGTCGTATGAGCACTTCCATTATGCTATGTGTGAAGTCGTATAAGCACTTCCTTTATGTTATTTGTGAAGTCGTATGAGCACTTCCCTTATGCTATGTGTGAAATCGTATGAGCACTTCCCTTATGCTATGTGTGAAATCGTATGAGCACTTCAATTATGCTATGTGTGAAGTCATATGACCATTTCCTTTATGCTGTGTGTGAAGTCGTATTACAACTTCCTTTATGTACTGTGTGAAGTCGTATAACCACTTGCTTTATGCTATGTGTGAAGTCATATGAGCACTTCCTTTACGCTATGTGTGAAGTCTTATGACCATTTCCTTTGCTATGTGTGAAGTCTTATGACAACTTCCTTTATGCTATGTGTGAAGACGTATGACCAATTCCTGTATGTTATTTGTGAAATCGTATGAGCACTTCATTTATGTTATATGTGAAGTCGTGTGACCATTTCCTTTATGCTGTGTGTGAAGTCGTATTACAACTTCCTTTATGTACTGTGTGTAGTCATATCGCCCCTTCCTTTATGTACTGTGTGAAGTCGTATAAGAACTTCCTTTATGTTATATGTGAAGTCATATGAGCACTTCCTTTTTGTTATATGTGAAGTCTTATGACCATTTCCTTTGCTATGTGTGAAGTAGTATAAGCACTTCCTTTATGTTATGTGTGAAGTCGTATGACCAATTCCTTTATGTTATGTGTGAAGTCGTAAGACCACTTCCTTTATGTTATATGTGAAGTCGTATGACCATTTCCTTTATGCTATGTGTGAAGTCGTATGAGCACTTCCTTTATGTAATATGTGAAGTCGTATGAGCACTTCCTTTATGTATAGTGTGAAGTCGTATGACCATTTCCTTTATGCTATGTGTGAAGTCGTATGACCATTTCCTTTATGCTATGTGTGAATGAAGTCGTATGACCATTTCCTTTATGCTATGTGTGAATGAAGTCGTATGACCATTTCCTTTATGCTATGTGTGAATGAAGTCGTATGACCATTTCCTTTATGCTATGTGTGAATGAAGTCGTATGACCATTTCCTTTATGCTATGTGTGAATGAAGTCGTATGACCATTTCCTTTATGCTATGTGTGAAGTCGTATGAGCACTTCCTTTATGTTATTTGTGAAGTCGTATGACCACTTCCTTTATGCTATGTGTGTAGCCATATCTCCACTTCCTTTCCTTTATGTAGCCCTCCACCACTGGGTCGCGGGATTTGGCGCTTCGTTGGGCAGTCACCAGATACTGGCCGTATGTCGGTATTTTCCGTCTTTTTTCACCATCAAACCTATCTTACGTCCTTAAATTGACCATAGCTAATGATAGAACGTAAAACAAAAACAAAGCAAACCATGTGCCGATAATTTGGTCTGTGACAACCTAATGCACCTGGTCCGACTTACATTTAACATTTGACTGTCTGTGATGTTACTGTTTATTACGACAACCGACTTATGACGATCATTTGGACAGTCTGTGACGTTACTGTTTATTTCGACAAACGACTTCTGACGATCATTTGGACAGTCTGTGACGTTACTGTCTATATCTGACGATTATTCTGACTACCCATGACAATGTAACTCTCTATTACGACTTATCGACTTCTAACGATTATTTTGACAGTCTGTGACGAAACTGTTTATTTTGGAGAGTCTGTGACGTAATTGTCTATCATCTGGACATCCTTTAATGATTTTCTGTGAAATACGACCGCATTTACGGCATGACCGACTTCTTTATTTTTCCCATCCGCACAAAAACGTATAGAACTTAACCTATATAGTGTATTTAAATGCTGAAAGGTTTTTAGATTATTGTTTTAAAGAGGACATTTCTCCAGGCATGACAAAACATCAAGCTAAACAGAAACCTATCTATTTCTATGTGCTGTGAGTAAAATACAGACCGCTATGGGATGTATGATAGTTATTTACTTTAACCGGTTATCCAAATGAAAAGTTTCAGCGCTGCGCGATCTGCCCTCGTGTCGCGTCCTCAGTGACGGGATCAGAACGTGAATGCACGTCTTGGGCACGCGACTGTACTCACCAACAAGCTCCGCATAAGGCCGGCCGCATTGCAGCTGTAGGGACGGGAACAGGGGCACTGTCCCAATACTCGTAGTACATAACGGCCTAACCTTTAATACCTAAAATCAATCGCACAAAAGGCCAATCGGCTGAGCGAGCTGAGAGGCGACACGGAGTGTAATAAATACCGCCTTTATTGCTGCTGTTTTCAGGGACTTAACACACGTTTTGGAGTTGTTTAATTATTTACTTGTGGAACATATATATATATAAGTGTATGTATTATATATTTTATATACATGAAGGTAAGCCTGGTCCAACAACATGTGCACGTCAGTCCATACATAAATGACAATTTAAGATACAAGGGTGATCTATTGCGAGCCTTTTCCGCCACGCGCGCGTGAGGAGGCTGTGTTGAGCGGTACATAGTATGGTGCGCAAGGCACTGGGAAGCCCAGCAGGACGTCGGGGGAGACACAATACCGCGCCTCGCTTATGTTTCGTCAACACCACCACCACCAATACATAGGCCTAACGTTAGCCCAATCAAACGTGCCAAGCGACAGTCTACTCTATGCAATACATACAAAAATGGCGGATACTGAAAAGGAAGAGGATGACAACGAACCAGTTGTCATAAATGTTGGTGGAACTATTTTCGAAACAACTTATGAAACTTTACGACAAGAACCGGACACTTTACTCGCTTCCCTAAGACCTTCCTCCCCGGAATACAGACCAACCAGAGGACACTTTTTCTTTGACAGGAACCCCGACCTATTTAACTGTGTCCTGGATTTATACCGGACGGGGGAGTTACACCTACCCCACGGATTTTGTGGCGCTACCCTTAGAACGGAGCTCAAGTTCTGGAGGATACCGGAGGACAGAATTGGAATGTGTTGTCTGCAGACATACTTCAAATACGACACGGATCGCGAGGTACTGGACACACTTCATGACGCATTCGAGGCCAAAGTAATGGACTACAACCCTAAGGAGGCCGATAGCAGCAAGTGGGTTAAAATTAAAAGGACCTGTTGGCTCTTCCTTGACCAACCAAACTCATCACCGGCCGCAAAGGTAAAACACGCTCCGTCCGAATTATTTTATTTTTCTAATATAATGAGGTAGTGTTTAACAATGTACTTGTTTCAAATGCTGATCCTGTTAATGTATTAACCATTTAGAATGTTACACGAAGACAGTTTCACACCAGATCATATTCAGATATTCGTGGTCATTTTTTGTTATGCACGAATCACCGATTCACATTGTCATCAGAGGAATGCTGAGTTATGTCCCTTCGGGGTTTTCACGTATTTGCTTTATGATGCAGATTTTGTGACGGATTAGTCGTAAAACGAGATATAAACAAATTGATGTCCATCCAATACAAAAATCTGTGTTCAGGCATGTAAAAATAATAATCTCTTTTCACACCGGACAATTCATCTTCAACTATATATACATCAACGTACATAAATACTGAAAATCCATCTTCTTCCAAAGCAAACACACCACATCTCTATCACTGCTTCTATAACAAACGACTTCCTCCATTTGCAGTCCTATTGTAGTTCAAAGCTGTCAGTGAAATAACCCTAGTAATACACATCACTGTTTCCATGGCAACATGAAACAAAGTCCTAGATAGATGTATTGTTATTAAGGATACCAGTGCTACTGCCAAAAACTTAACTACTCACCGGAAGTTGGTTTTCCCCGACATGACTATAGCTTTGATCAATCATTTCTGAACAGAAAACCATGCCTTGTGGGACTGATTTTTAATGAAAAAGTGATAGAAATGAAGTGATATAATTAACAACAGTGTTCTGAGTGTATATAACAGTCTGCGGGGCTAGACCAAGATTCGAACCCTGAACCTCATAAAGTGTAACCAGTTAACCTACTGTACTAAATGCCGTAGTTATATACACAACGAAGTAAGGGGAGGTTACTGTATTTGTAGAAAAAACAGCGAGATATTTTTTGGTGCTTCAGTTCGGGTTGTGGTTGTGACAGTGTAAATCTGTTAGCTCTCCCCATCCCCATCCTCCTCCTTCTTTATGAAAGCGAACTAGTTATGACATAGTTTTCTTTTAAACATGTCAAAGTATTCTTCATCTACAGAGCCTGACCTTTGTTCCCTTTATATATGAAGAAGTGACCTATATAATTATGGTGTCTTTTAGCTAAAGATTGTTAGACTCTGGCAATAATCGAGACACTGTGTAACTCGCTTTCACATATGACAAATCAGGGGATCATAACGAACGTGAGGAGCAGGTCAGGGAATCTCTTCAGTCCGATTTGAACATTTTGTACAAAGAGGGGATCCCCCAGATTTGTAGGAGTCCGGTTGTCGTGTCTCTTTTGTAAGTCTCCCTCGGCTCCTAAAGTTCTCGTTGTTATGGAGAGGCGCGTGTTGATGAAGCGATCGCGTGCGTGTGTTCGCTTGATGTTGTATCGATGCATCTGGTGATAGATTCACCCAGGCTCAAAGTCGTCTACAGAGATTGTCTCTAAAATCATTAATTGTTTGGTGAATAGTCAAAATGCTTTCATGGACGTTGCAGAAAATACAGCTAGCGCGCTTTTAAAATTTGTTGCAACAAATTCCATAAAAAACAGTTCTAATGATACGTCACTTAGAAGGGTGTTAATTTCCATTGTTAATTGTTACGATCTGTAAGATTGGTTTTGTTTGATTTCGTTCGTGGATGTATCGGTCCCCGCGGCAGTAGAGCCTGTGGACACTGATGCCTAGACGAGTAGCGAATTTTATTGATTTTTATCTGAAAATTTGGTTTATCGCACAGTTAAAAAATCTGCGAAAAGTATCGATCTGAAAGAGAATGAGACTAAATCAAGTTAGTTTCAACTTTTATTTGGCAAAAAAACACCTGGTATTGTAAACTTTGAAATGTGTATTTCTGCAGCACTGAGATTTTAAAAGGATATGCCGCATTGGAATGTTGAAATGTCTTTTTTATGTGCAAATTTGATAAACTTTACTTGCTGTGTTTATATAGATTTTTGTTTGTATATACTAGTATATCACTGTAGGTTTTTATATTTGTAGAAATGCAGTTTAATGGTTGTTGTTAACAGAGTGTCGTTGTTTACCTGTCTCTGTATATGATGGAGTGTCGTTGTTTATCCGTTTCTGTATATGATCGAGTGTCGTTGTTTACCTGTCTCTGTATGTGATCGAGTGTTGTTGTTTACCTGTCTCTGTATATGATGGAGTGTCGTTGTGTACCTGTTTCTGTATATAATGGAGTGTCGTTGTTTACCTGTTTCTGTATATGATCGAGTGTCTTTGTTTACCTGTCTCTGTATATGATGGAGTGTCGTTGTTTACCTGTCTCTGTATATGATCGAGTGTCGTTGTTTACCTGTCTCTGTATATGATGGAGTGTCGTTGTTTACCTGTCTCTGTATATGATCGAGTGTCGTTGTTTACCTGTCTCTGTATATGATGGAGTGTCGTTGTTTACCTGTCTCTGTATATGATTGAGTGTCGTTGTTTACCTGTCTCTGTATATGATGGAGTGTCGTTGTTTACCTGTCTCTGTATATGATGGAGTGTCGTTGTTTACCTGTCTCTGTATATGATGGAGTGTCGTTGTTTACCTGTCTCTGTATATGATGGAGTGTCGTTGTTTACCTGTCTCTGTATATGATGGAGTGTCGTTGTTTACCTGTCTCTGTATATGATGGAGTGTCGTTGTTTACCTGTCTCTGTATATGATCGAGTGTCGTTGTTTACCTGTCTCTGTATGTAATCGAGTGTCGTTGTTTACCTATCTCTGTATATGATCGAGTGTTGTTGTTTACCTGTCTCTGTATATGATGGAGTGTCGTTGTTTACCTGTCTCTGTATAAGATCGAGTGTCGTTGTTTACCTGTCTTTGTATCTGATTGAAAGTCTTGATTGTGGACTAATTACAACAAAAAACGCTATTTGATCAATGTTGAGCTCACACACCACCCATTTGAAAATTGTAATTCTAGAAGATTTGTCAAGTTTGTTTAAACTGTTATACCTGTGTAATTTTGATGTAGGCACTTGACTATGTCCTTATATATCCTGCCTGAATTCAAATACACCTCGCTCTTCGCTCAGGTAACATTTAATTCCAAACAGGTAATATAATCGCATGATACTTGCTTAAACCAATAAACATGATAGAGCATAGGTCCCACTGTGATGTGGCAATTTAACGACGTCATTGACATCGAAACAATTAATTTTCATTACTTTAATTTTAACGTAACGTTGATAAACGAGTTTGGTGTAATAGTTACGAGGGTTGGTTATAACTATAGAAGGATAGACATAGGCTGCTTTCGTTTATCGCGATCCAAACGGTTGAACCGGTTGGACCGAGGTTGTTCGTTTATGAAATGAGATCGGACCTAGTAATCTGATGCTGCTTTCAGGTAAGCCTTAACAAAGCCTTACAAGGCCTGCATAAATATTTTCAGTTCCGCCAGGATTTATACCCGAAAATGTTACATTGAATAAAAGAACAGGCCCCGGTCGTATCCCTCATCAACGGTGTTGCCGAAGCTGTTGTAGGAAGCTTCTCCAATGTGGCAGTTAGGTCCGTCCTCAGTCGATGTTACAGAGTCGTACACAACCACAGAAAGGAAAGATAAATACAGTTTACGCCTGTACAATAAAATAAAATCAAGTGAAATGAAACTCGTTTGAGTTTTGTTGAAGGCAAACAAAAATATCTCGGGATATCGATTGGTTCATGCAATAAGAATTATTCTTATTTTATTTGATAATACACCACAGTGGTATATACACACACCCATGACTGGTGTAAATTGGTACGCACACACACAGAAATATAGGGGGACCACACGTCCACACAGAAACATAGGGGGAGCACACGGTCTACACAGAAACATAGGGGGCCATGTGGTAGGCAGCAACCCTCCAGAACACCAGTGCTTTATGAGTCTAACATGTGTGACAACTTATCAAAAATATGCAAACACTTATAGCCACCCCCCTCTGCTGATATGTCCGAAGCATTGTTATACATTTCACACGTTGGTCGACCGTATACCAGGACGTAGCCGCTTTCGTTGATCTAGTTCCAAACGATAGGACTAATTAGGCCAAGTTGTTCGTTTATGACATAGTGACGAACATCGTGATATGATGTTGCTATGAAGGCCTGCTGAACCTGTGAAGGTCCGCCAGCGTTTATCCCTGAAATAAGGACATCGAGACAATGTTCTAAACCTCACTGATGATACTGACATACCTGATGTATCGGGTTTTACCATGCAGTAACAATAGATTTTGGTAGCTTTATTATTTATCGGCTCATTATGAGCTATTTGCGGGCTATGATTGGGGAATCAAACACTTATGTACGGATGTGAGAACCTTAGAGGAAACCGAACATGTTTACGATTTTCTAGGTAATTAGATAAATTAATACACATGTATATGAAATTCATTATTAGACATACATATATATGAGGCCCTCCTTTTGGAATACTACGGTTTTGATTTTAAAAAATGCGAGGAGCTCCGAGAAGGCGACAGAGAGAACCAATACTAAAATCGGAGAGCCTATCTGATTGGTAAATCAATTACGAGTGCCCAAGCAATTTTAGCAAATTGTTACTCTCTATTGGTAGTAATTATACGTTACACATGCCTTGTTGTGATTATATGAAGGTCATTGTTGATGTGTCGTACAGAACCCTATGGTGAGCGTTAGACCGGTTGATCCGCGAGTATTACCGCTGGAACTCATTATGAAGCGCTATATAGTAGCCTCCGTGTATAGGGGCGTTGTCACTGGACCCGATGGGAGGGTGCACCAACGTGTCAAGGACGATCATCATTATTACTGACCACGTGGTCAGGTCACATGATAGATAATTGATTCGGTTTTTTTCAGTGGCTCTGTTTGAAGACGGCCCCAGATCAGGTGTCAGTGGGGACCATACCACCATAAAAACACAGCCACAACGTGCGTTTCACAATCCTAGCTTCTTTCGATTTTTCACGAGAGTTAAACTCTGTAACAGGAAAGAGAGTA